CTGTGGCGAAAGGCATTCGCTATCTACGTCAGACGCAGGTCAAGGGTTTTCATTGACTTTTTCTTAAAAACCCTGCTGACCTGACCTATATTAGTACTCGATCGAAACACTTCATCGATTCAACTGCCTCGCCTCTGCCTCTGCCCTCTCGTCGTCGATCAAATTCTCCTCGCCGACTCAGCCTCCTGCCCTCCTCAAGTTCTCCTCAGCCGGCGCAGACCCTCGTCTCTCTCCCGAGTCACTTCTTCGCAGACTCAGAGCCAGCGCAAGTAAGACTCCACACTTTGCAGGTCACTTAGACTTTTTTTGTTTTCTTATTGTTTTTTTGAATGGTTATTGTTTCTTTACAAATAGTTTTTCACCAATGGCAGAAACTTCCTCCAAAAGTAATCGAAAGGATTTGGCTTGGAAATATTTATCGACTTGAGGATCCTAATAATACAAATAATACTACGTGTATTTTTTGTAATAACCACTACACGGGAGGAATTAGTAGAGCAAAGCGACTGTTAAATATATCAATTATTTAATATATTTAATATTATATATTATAATTATGCTTGTTGCCTATTATAGTTAGAATTATTATTATATAATATTATCTTATATAATTAGTCATTAATGTGGAAGATTCTAGAATATATTCCTCCACCTAGAAATACATACTTTGTATTCCTCTCTTATTCATTTAATCAATAAAGTGTTCTTTATTATTTTTACATGGTATCATAACCTTCGCTCTTGGTGACCTAATACATCCCGCTTCCTCCTCCGCCGTCGCCGATGATTTATCCGGCGATGGTGGCCTCACTCCCACTTGTTCTTCTAATAATGATCTTCCATACTCCTCCATCTAGCTCTGGATCCATCACTGTCGCTTCCTGATTTTAGATCATATCAGCACCTCAACATACTTAGTCAGCAGATCCTCAGTCAACATGCATCTCCGGCAGTACCTCATTTCTTGTGTTTCTTCTCTAACCCAGTCGCGCACGACTCCAGCGCACGTCAATCTTCTCCCTTTCGTCGACGTTAGCGACATGAGTCTGTCCGCATGCAGCGGCTCTTCTCCCATCCTCCTCGAAGCAGACACATTTCTTTCCCAGCAATCTTTTTCTTCTCTTATGGTCCGCATGCATTCGGGCTGTTCTAGTCGAAGATATGCCTCTAGTTTCTAATCACGACTTTGGTCATCATTCAATTTAAAGTTGGCGTTCAATCTTCACAGTTCAGGACGTTAGGAGTATGTTAAATATATCAATTATTTAATATATTTAATATTATATATTATAATTATGCTTGTTGCCTATTATAGTTAGAATTATTATTATATAATATTACCTTATATAATTAGTCATTAATGTGGAAGATTCTAGAATATATTCCTCCACCTACAAATACATACTTTGTATTGCTCTCTTATTCATTCAATCAATTAAGCATTCTTTATTATTTTTACAGCGACATATTGTTGATGGGTATTCTGATGTAAAGGCATGTGACAAAGTGTCTGATACCTTAAGAGAAGAGATTCGATCTTATATGGCTGAGAAGAAGAAGACAAAAGATTAGATTGTGCTAGACAGGGAAGTTGATCGACAGCGATTTCATGAAGAGGCTTTGATTGACTATGGAGATGATGATGAAGATGATGATGGAATTGGTGAATTGGCTAAATCTAAAAAGCCAAAGTTGAACAGGAAGGGGCCTATGGATATGTTTGTTAGTCATACTCATACTGGACAACATAGTGCTAAGACAATGAATAAACAGAAGAACTAAAATGAAGAAGCACTTAAAGAGTTGCAAAGTCGAGCATGTTCGGCCATATCAAGATGGATGTGTGATGCTGCTATTCCTTTTAATGCAGTGAACTATGAAAGTTTCCAAGAAATGAGTGATGCAATTGGAAACCATGGCCCAGGAATGAAAGCTCCATCTTTTTATGAGCTAAGAGTTCCTCTTCTCAAGAAAGAAGTTGAGCATGTGAAGAAATCCATGGAAGGCCATAAAGAAGAATGGGCGAAACATGATTGCTCCATTATGTTGGATGGATGGAAAGATAATAGGGAGAGAACATTAGTTAACTTTTTAGTTAATTCTCCCAAAGGTAGTGTATTTGAGAAATCCGTTGATGCTTCTCAGTATTCTAAGATAGGTGAAAAGGTCTTTGAGCTTCTTAGTGAATTTGTTGAAAGTGTTGGTCCACGGGACATGGTGCAAGTGATTACTGACAATGCTTCAAGCACGAAGAGTGCAGGTTTGATTCATGACTCCTTTATACTTTCCTTAAAAATTTAAAAAGTACATATATTTAGATTTAATGTTTTTATTTTGATGTTTTTTAGTTTATTTTTTTTTTAATTTTTTTGTAATAACAGGAGACTTATTAATGGCAAAGTATAAGCATTTGTTCTGGACGCCTTGTGCAGCTCATTGCTTGGACTTGATATTGGAGGATGTTTTCAAAGTGTCACATATTCGTAATGTTTACAACAAAGCATTGAAGATTAATAGTTTTATTTATACTCGACCGAGCCTAGTGAACTTGATGAGAAAGTTTACTAAGTTGGATTTAGTGAGGCCTGGTGTTACTCATTTTGCCATTGTTGCACTAACACTTGGAAGGATACACTCGTTGAGGAAATAATTGAGATCTTTATTTACTTCAGAAGCATGGAAAAGAAGCAAATGGGCACAAGAGCAAAAAGGCAAACAAGTTCAGAGGACTGTTTTTTCTGAAACATTTTGGCGGGGAACTTTGAAATCCCTCAAAATTGCCACTCCTTTACTCAAAGTTCTTCGTTTAGTTGATGGTGAAACAAAACCTGCAATGGGTTATATTTATGAGGCGATGGACAGAGCTAAAGAGGACATAACAAATAGTTTTAGAGGAGATGCGACACAATATGGCCGTTTCTTTGAAATTATTGATCTCATGTGGGATGTTCAGCTCCACCACGCACCCATTACATGTAGCTGGTTATTTTCTGAAGCCTTATTATTTCTATTCAAATCCAGAGATTGAACAAACTAAAGAAATAACAGATGGGTTCTACCAATTCCTTGAGAAATTAGTGCCAGATGCAACTCTGCAAGAGACAATTACGAACTGATGAGCTCATACTCTACAGAAATGCTGAGGGTACAATGGGATTCAACTTTGCTAAGCGTTAGAGAAATTCAAAACCAGCAGGTATTCAATAGTAAAAATAAATATATGCATTACAAATTTATAATAATAATTTAATAATAGTATTAAATATAAAAAATAAACTTTTGCAGTGGAGTGGTGGAAAGCTTATGGTGGCAGTGCACCCAATTTGCAACAATTTGCGATCAAGATCCTCAGCTTAACTTGTAGTTCATCTGGCTGTGAAAGAAATTGGGGTTTTTTTAAACATGTAAGTAAGGAGTCAAGAAACATTAATATGTATTTTTGCGTATGTGATGTTTCTAATTTATCACCTCAAATTTATCGCATGGTAGGTTCACAGCAAAAAAGAGAAACAGATTGGACCAAGCAAAGTTGAATGACCTAGTGTTTATCAAGTATAACAGAGCATTGATGAGGCGTCACAAAAGGAGAGATGCTATTGACCCCATATCCTTGAAGGACATAGATGATTGTAGTGAGTGGTGGTTCATTGGTGAAGAATGCTCCGAGGAGACAATTCATGATCTCACATTCGGTCATATTTCTAGAGCATCAGGAGCAGAAGAGCCTATCTACTATACTCGTAGGGTAGCACCTAGTGGCACCACCGGCACGAGTAGTTCAACACCACAACCACAAAGGGGTGAGATCAGGTGAGAAGGCTCCTTGGTGAGAGAAAAAAGAATGATTTTCAGGCCTTGGATCTTGTTGATCACACGGCTGTGGGGGTCCAAGCATTTTAAATAGCCAATTTTTTTTAAAAGGAAAGGAAGGATGCGCTGCATTAAAAAAGGGAAGACAGCTGTAAGAAGGGTATTATGGTCTCAATGAATGAATAATTACTCGATGCTATGGCGGAATAGTCGCATCTGTCTCACATCTATACGTTCCAGGGAATCGACGCACCATCTCCGATCTTCGCCATTTTGTTTCCGCTTCTCGATTAGAAAATAAATTCATCATCTCCAGCGATGTCCGATTCCATAGCTTCTACTCTCCGGTTCCTTTTCAAGCTATGGCGTTTGAATCTGAACATGATATGTAGGTATTTTCATCCATTTTAGGGTTCATATATAAATTATTGGAGGGGCACAATTGTGGGTTGTGGTAGATGTTTTCAGAATTTGTTCGTAATTGAGACGAGTGGTTTAACTTTTCCTCTCTAGGTTTTCTCACCACAGTGTTCATGTTCACTGGAGTACTTTATTAGTAAGAAGTGCAACATAATTTCATTATGGTGCATTCTTCACCGGCAAATAGTGCATCATGCACTTGTTGTGATACAGCTTTCAGAAAATGTGTTGTTCTGGAAAGATGAAATAATGAAATAATGAATCCTTATGGAAGAACATCATTTTTATCAATGAGCTATAATTCAACCTTTTGTTATAAAGGGCCAAATTAATTAAATTTTGTTGATATAAAGGGCTAGATTATATTTATTTTTAGGTGATTAATAATATTTACTATAAAGGGTTGAATTATAGTCCATCAATTTTTATGTTTTATACGAAAGTTGATGTATGAAGTTTATTATATGCGTTATAAAAGAATTATGTTTATATAATTATTTATGCATGAGCATGATATGACGTATGTCCTACAGTTGAGATTGATGTTGAGTCATATATGAAGATGAAGCTGAAGAAGATGCAAATGTAACAAGAAGATGATGCAACAATACATGATGATGGTGCAATTCCAGCACTCACAAGCAAATAACCACAACAGCACATAAACAATAGCAAAACAGTTATTGAAGGAAGTGCTGCAGCTTGAGAATACGCAGGATGCTACAACACCTTCTTCAACAGTCGCACACACAAACAGAATAATAAACACACCAAGACACAAAGATTTATTTACGCAGTTCGGAGCAGTATCTCCTACGTCTGCGAGGCCCACATCCGTGTAATAGCCTTTCCACTAGATCATCGTAAGAATTACACTATCAAACTTCAATAGAACCTTCTAATGAATCTGATTTGTCTACTTACGAGATCTGACAGCAAACTCGGTTTGTGTCTTCACCAAGCCTATTACACCTTCTTCTTGCTCTGCACGAAGGATGTGTTTCTGACCCTTGCTCAGCCCACCAGGTTGCAACAGCTGAACAATATCTAGAGAAGATCCATGACTGATCTTCTCATGCAATTTTCTCACAGTTTGTGTTTTGATCAGAATTGTGGTGATCTCACGCTCTCTCCTTGAATATTCTGAGTATATTTCTGCGTGCCTTTATCCCCCACGGCTGTCTCTCTTTATAGGCTGTCCATAACCCTAGTGGAGATAGTATGGAATTCTTCAGATGAGAAGCTTGAACACCAGGCACTCCTAGCGCGGCATGACTTCTTCCGTAGATTTGCATTGTTTATTTCGCACGTGTTCAGGAAGATGCTGGACACTTTACGAACCCTTCTTGACATATAAAACTCGATATACTCAGAGTCAATCTCGTATAAAAACTCTAAGACATGACTGACAGGATGCTACAGCTCTTATCCTAGCACAGATATACTACCAGTTCTACAGAAGGGTTTTGTCAAAAAATAATGCCAACATAAACTATAACAATGTTAACTAGTTGGAGCCAACAATCTCCCCCTTTGGCAATTTTTTGACAAAAACCACTATTCAGCCGTTTCTGAACCTCTTCTCCCCCCTTTTTTGCATAAAAAATGCCAAAGATATTTTATTGAAAATCACCAAAGCGGGGGCAAAAAGAGAAGAGTAATATTCAATACGGTCAAGAATATGTACATTAAGAGTATAGGAGAGAAAAACTCTAAAGAGCTGTACCTACATCTGTCACCCTAGAAAGAGCCAAGTACCCATGAGAGAGGGTAGGCTTGTGTGCTGTCTTTGCTTCATAATGCATGCAGAGAATAACAGAACCAAAAATAAGTCATAACCAGAGCTTCATAGAAAACATAGAGAATAAAACCATCTCTCCACAGAGCACAGATAAGTTTATCAAAAACCATGCAATGTCTTCAGCATCATAAAACAGGGCAGAACAACCCTTCCAAAAAAAATGTTTTAGAGCAACAGTTTTATCAGTAAGGCAATGTTTACTCCTCTAAACTGGCACCTTCTGATGATTCTTGAGAGGCTCCTGCTGATTCTGATGAAGATATCTCTTCTGCACTGTCTTCTTGGGCATCTTCATCTGTGCATGAGTGTGCAGCAACTGCCTTTTGTTTAGCCAGTCTCTCCCCCTTACTCGGTGCACTCTTTGTTTGCCTCAGATTATGCGCAATCTGGATAAGCACATTCATCCTTTCAGTTGATCTTTGGGCAATTTCATGATGATAATCCGCATCCATTTCAAGGGATTTGATCTCCTTTTCAAGGAAGCTGAGCTGGTAATCTACTGAAGCTGGATTTGGTGTTTCTGCTGAGGATGCTCCAGCAGCAACCATGTCATTGAAGTGACTTCCTTCAAGATGTCTTGCATCCACTTGCAGCAAGGGAGGAATGATCTCTTCTTCCTCATCTTCTTTCTTCTCAAAGCCTTGATCCTTCAGTATGCTGTAGACCAACAGTGGGTATGGAAGACCATTCTTGTTCTTCTTGTATTTTTCTGCTGCAAACGCCATCACCTGATCAAATACAACCCTACCAAGATCAAAAGGAACATTGTTTTTGATTCTGTAGATTAGGGTGGCTATGCACAATGGAACAGTGTTGGTGTGAGTAGTTGGCATCCAGTGAAATGCAGCAATTCTTAGAAGGAGAGCATATGAACTTTTCAGCACTGAAGAAGGCACTTTGGACTTTCCATGTTGGTAGTCCCTAAGTCCATTGGTGAGATCACTCCACACAGTTTCCTCATCAATAGGAGTGATTACTGGATTTTGGTCAGTACCAAGAAAAGAGTTTATGACTGAGGGAGAAAAATCATAGAGCTTTCCACGAACAAAGACTTTCTGGTATGAGGGATCATCTTTGGTAACACATGACTCAGATAAATTGCAATAGAATTCTTGAATGACTTTCTTCACATATGAACCAGGGAGAGTGACAGATTTTAGCAATTTGTTTGATTTAAGTGTGGGCAGGAGGTTTGTTTTCTTGCTAAAGTCAGTCACATCAAGATTCCTTTGAGGGATAATTGATTTTTTCACAACATCAAGAAAAAGAGATTTTGCAATACTAGAGGGAAAAATTTTAACAGATTGCTTCCCTGGAGTGCAGCTTGATGGTGAATTCTTTGAACTTCTGGTCTCCCGTCTGGATGAAGATGGAGCATCTGGTGTGGATTTCGTTCTCTTCACTGGAAGTTTTGGCGAAGGACAAACCTCACTTTCTTTTCTCTTCTTGGGCTCAGATTGAGGCTTCGTCATCTTCTCCTTTTTCTCTGACTCTTGAACTTCCTCTTGTGAATTCTCTGTGTGATGAAGAGATCTGGTTCGTCTCAGAGACCATCGGGTAGGTCCAGTGTTGTTTCTCCTTTTTGTGTCTCCTCTCTTTGTGTTGCATGCAGAATCTTGAAAGGGGACTGCTGAGCATGCGAGAATTGGTTCTTCTTCTTCAAGAATTTCACCCTGAACTTCCTCTTCAAAGATTCCCCCCTTTGTTTTAGGGTTTTTTGTGGATTCTTCTAGATTGATTGAAGTGTATTCCAATCGCAATACTTCAGATGGTTGCAAAATTGGAAGATATAGTCCATCATCATCTGAGAGAAGCGGGTGTGCTGAAGACTTTCCAGTTGCTGCAGTGGTAGATGACGATTCACCCCTTGAGAATAGCTTTGTCCAGGAGGGTTTGTGGAACTTCTTCTTTTGCACTCTTGCCTTTCCAGTCCATCGCTGTGGTAGAGCAATCTTTGTTCTTACCATGCTTGCTTGAGAGAGAAGGACAGATGATTCTTGATTTTGAATTTTTTGGAGAGTTATGAGGCGGAGTGAAACTGGTTTGGATTCTATTTGATTTGCAGCGCAACTTTTGAGATTTTGGAAATGCCTCTTCGTTTCTTGTACAGTTCTGGACGTCCCTTTTTATTTGAGTTCCGTGTCCATGCAGTACACGCCTTCCTATTGTGCCATATGTCACCTTTTTCAGCAGATGTGGTAATATTTGAACACATTAGCTGACAGTTTGTGTTCAAAATTAATTTTTGTGACATATCAATAAGGTGCACACAGACCCAATTTGGATCTGAGTGTTTCAAATCTGCTTCCATCCAACGCCTTTGTGAAAATATCAGCCAGTTGCTCCTCAGTATCAACGTGCTCCAGACTAATAATTTTTTCTTCAACTAATTCTCGTATAAAATGATGTTTAATATCAATATGCTTTGTTCGAGAATGTAGCACAGGATTTTTTGACATACTAATTGCACTTGTGTTGTCACAATATAATGGTATTGTCTTCTGTTGGATTCCATAGTCTGATAACACTGACTTCATCCATAACAATTGTGCACAACAACTTCCGGCTGCTATATATTCAGCTTCTGCTGTAGATAATGACACTGAGTTTTGTTTCTTACTTAGCCATGCAACCAAATTTCCTCCTAGAAAGAAACAACCTCCAGATGTACTTTTCCGATCATCTATATTTCCTGCCCAGTCTGCATCACTAAATGCTGCTAATTGTGCTGGACCACCCTTTTCGTACCACAATCCCAAGTTTTGTGTGCCTTTGACATATTTTAGTATTCTTTTGACAGCCTTGAGATGTGACTCTTTTGGACTTGCTTGGTATCTGGAACATACTCCCACACTATAACAGATGTCTGGTCTGCTGGCAGTAAGATATAGCAGGCTTCCAATGATGCTTCTGTAATGAGTCTCGTTTACCAATTTTCCACAATCATCTCTGCTGATCTTTTCATGTGTTGGACAAGGTGTTCTAGCACTTTTACAGTCACTCATATCAAACTTCTTCAGCATGTACTGTATGTACTTAGCTTGTGAGATAAAGATGCCTTTCTCTGTTTGCTTTACTTGCAACCCCAAGAAAAAGGTTAGTTCTCCAATCATGCTCATCTCAAACTCCATCTCCATTGTTTTGACAAACTTATCAACATGCTGCTTTGAGGTGGATCCAAAAATGATATCATCAACATTTATCTGAGCAATGAGGATGTCTGATTCGTACCTTTTATAGAACATAGTGCTGTCTGCTCCACCCCTTTCATATCCTTCCTTGAGAAGATAAGTGGTCAGCCTCTCATACCATGCACGTGGAGCTTGCTTCAACCCGTAGAGTGCTTTCCTCAGTCTGTAAACATGATCTGGATGTTTTGGATCTTCGAACCCTTTTGGCTGTGAGACATAAACCTCTTCTTTAAGATAGCCATTCAAAAATGCAGTCTTCACATCCATCTGATAAAGTTTCATGTCAAGGATGCATGCCATACTGATTAACATGCGAATGGATTCTAGTCTTGCAACTGGAGCAAATGTTTCTTCAAAATCAATTCCCTCAATTTGTGTATAACCCTGAGCTACCAGCCTTGCTTTATTTCTGACTACTTTCCCATCTTCATCTGTTTTGTTTCGAAAAATCCATTTTGTCCCAATAACATTAACATCTTCTGGTTTTGGAACCAGCTCCCATACATTATTGCGTTCGAACTGTCCCAGCTCTTCTTGCATAGCATCTATCCATGGTTCTTCTTTAAGAGCTTCTTTTATGTTCTTTGGCTCAACTGAAGAGGTATAGAAAGCATTTATCATTTGGACAAAATCTATCTTCTTTTTCCGAGTCTGAATGCCTTCTCTTGGATTCCCTATGATATTTTCTGGTGGATGATTTTTGTGCACATGTGTAGGTATTCCTGTTGACTCCTCTGGTGTTGCTGCTGACTCCTCTGAAACTGTAGATTGATCCTCCTCATTGTTTGTTTGTTCTTCAGATTCTGTCTCTTCTTGTTCTGAAACAGTCTCAGTTTGTGTTTCAGTGATTTCAGTGTCATCACTGCACCTTCTTGGTATTTGATCATCTACCACCACGTTTATTGATTCAATTATATTCCTGGTTCTTTTGAGCAATACTCTATACGCCTTGCTGTTTGGTGAGTAGCCTACGAATATTGCTTCTTCACTCTTGGCCTCGAACTTTCCTTTCTGTTGTCTGTCTCGTAAGACATAGCATCTTGCTCCAAAAATGTGGAAGTGTGCAAGATTTGGAGTTCTTCCTTTCCACAACTCATATGGTGTAGCCTTTGTGCCGCTCCTGATGTATACCCTATTTATTGTATAGTAGGCTGTATGTACTACCTCAGCCCATAGATTCTGAGCTAAGTTTTGGGTGTTTATCATTGTGCGGGCCATCTCTTGTACATGTCTGTTCTTTCTCTCAGCAATTCCATTCTGTTGTGGGGTTTTTGGAGCAGAAAACTCATGCTGAATTCCTTCCTTGTTGCAGTAATCACTAAAGGGTTGACTTTCAAATTCCCCACCATGGTCACTCCTAACACGAATGACCTTTTTAATCTTGAGCTGTTTCTCATTCTGCACTTTGTTGCACAATATGACAAAGGCTTCTAGTGCATCATCTTTGTGTCTTAAGAAGCTTACCCAGGAATATCTTGAGTAATCATCCACCACTATGAGCACAAATCTTTTCCCTCCGATGCTTTCTATTTTCATTGGCCCAAAGAGATCAATATGTATTAACTCCAATGGTCTTGTGGTGGATTGATATGCCTTTTTAGGACGGCTTGCTCGTGTTTGTTTCCCTTTCTGACATGGACCACATACTTCACCTTCCAGTCTCTTTATTTTGGGCAATCCTCGAACTGCATCAGAGTTTGAGAGGGTTGTGAGATCTTTAAAATTTAGATGACCGAGCCTGTAGTGCCATAACCTTGCATCCTGTTGGCTTGCAGGAAAGCACAGAACATTAGGAGTGACTTTGTAGCAGGTGTCAGTTGTTCTGTCACCTTCTAATACCACCAGTTTGTTTTTGTCTTTCACGCGACACTTTTGCTGAGTAAATGTGACCTCCAGCCCTTGGTCACATATTTGGCTGATGCTCAGTAGATTTACCTGAAGTCCTTGTACAAGCCATACATTCTTGATTGGTGGAAGTCCTGAAACATTTAGTATTCCACACCCAATGATTTTGCCTTGTGCTCCACCACCAAATCTAACATTTCCTCCCTCAACTGAGTTGATGTTAGCAAGATTCTGTCTGACACCAGTCATATGATGAGAACATCCACTATCTAGTAACCACTGATCAGGAGTGACTCTGAGACATGAATTTGCTACCATGACCCTTTCCTTTAGAACCCAAATCTGCTTGATCTTCTGAGTTCTTGTTCTTTTATTTTTGAGCCTCTGGCATGTTCTCTTGATATGCCCCCATCTTCTGCAGTAGTAACATCTGTAGTTTTGATAAGTCAAAGAGTTTCTTCTATGACGTTTGATATTGTAGCTCTTGATTGGTTTTACTGCTGGGTGATAGCTGTTTCCCATGTTCTTTGTTATTTTCACACTGTCTTCTTTGAGTGGATCATCTATTTTGGTGTGGCTGTCACATCCAATTCCTTGTCTATCCCCAGGTGCTTTGAACAACTTCTCTTGTGCATCCAGTACTTCAGCTCCGGCTATCTTCATCCACTTAATGTAGTCCTTGAGCTTTTGCAGTTCATATTTTAGATCTGCATTATTTGTTTCCGCTTTCTCTAGATTCTGCTTCAAGACCTTTAGATCACATGCCAGCTGATTCTTTTCTGCTATATTTCTTCTATTAACCATAAGCAGCTCAGTCCACTTTTCTTGAAGATCCATATGTTGTTCAACTAGATCATCTGACTCTGACTGTGAGATAAAAGCACAGTTGCTTTCCTCACAACCCTGATCTTCGTCAGTATCATCATCACTCCAGGTTATTGAAAATGCTTGTCTCTTCTTTTTAAGGTTGTTTGCACATTCATTCTGAATATGCCCATGACCACCACATTCAAAACACAGCGGTCCTTTGAACTTGGAGCTATTATCATAGGGCTTTCGTGACTCCCTGAAAGTGGATGTCTTAGAAGGTCCTTCTTGAATTTGACTCTTTCCCTTCTTCTGAATCCACTTCCTTTTGAAATGCTTTGTGAATAGAGACAGCTGTTCTTGGAATTCTTCATCAAATGCTAAACCATCTTCACTGTCATTCTCCAGATCTGTTCCCAGAAAGGCAATTTGCTTCTCTGGTTTTCGTCTCTTGCTATCCTCCTTCATGTTTAATTCGATTGTTTCAAGATTACCCATTAAGGCATCAAGAGTCATTTTTTTGGCATCATGTGATTGAGAGATTGCTTTGACATCCATATCAAACCTCTCTGGTAGTGATCTCAGCACCTTTAGAACAAGTTTTGATTCTGGAAACGGCTCCTGTAATCTAGCTGCTTGATTTGCAAGGTCGCGGACTCTTCCATGGAATTCTACAATAGTTTCTTTCTCATCCATTCGCAGATTTTCATATTGTGTCATGAGAATCTGATACTTTGCAGTTTTGACCTTCTCATCACCTTCATGTGTGACTTCAAGAACATCCCATGCTTCCTTTGCGCTAATACAGTTTGAGATGAGACGATATTGTGTGGCATCAACTCCACCAAAAATAGCATTTAGGGCTTTGTCATTATTCTCAGCAGCAAGGACTTCAGTTCTACTATAGTCTTCAAATTTTTTGACAGTTGTCGTAGACAGATCATCCGAGTGTTTGACTGGTTCTGTCCAGCCAGTTTCCACAGTTCTCAATACTCCTCCTTGTGATTTCAAGAATGCCCTCATACGCCCTTTCCAGAAGTTGTAGTTGTGACCACGTAGCAGGGGTGGCCTGGAAACACTGGCTCCTTCCTCCATGTCTCCCATAACTTGTGATCGTTGAAAGCTAATAACTTAAGCTCAACGGGCTCTGATACCAATTGAAATTCCAGCACTCACAAGCAAATAACCACAACAGCACATAAACAATAGCAAAACAGTTATTGAAGGAAGTGCTGCAGCTTGAGAATACGCAGAATGCTACAACACCTTCTTCAACAGTCGCACACACAAACAGAATAATAAACACACCAAGACACAAAGATTTGTTTACGCAGTTCGGAGCAGTATCTCTTACGTCTGCGAGGCCCACATCCATGTAATAGCCTTTCCACTAGATCATCGTAAGAATTACACTATCAAACTTCAATAGAACCTTCTAATGAATCTGATTTGTCTACTTACGAGATCTGACAGCAAACTCGGTTTGTGTCTTCACCAAGCCTATTACACCTTCTTCTTGCTCTGCACGAAGGATGTGTTTCTGACCCTTGCTTAGCCCACCAGGTTGCAACAGCTGAACAATATCTAGAGAAGATCCATGACTGATCTTCTCATGCAATTTTCTCACAGTTTGTGTTTTGATCAGAATTGTGGTGATCTCACGCTCTCTCCTTGAATATTCTGAGTATATTTCTGTGTGCCTTTATCCTCCACGGTTGTCTCTCTTTATAGGCTGTCCATAACCCTAGTGGAGATAGTATGGAATTCTTCAGATGAGAAGCTTGAACACCAGGCACTCCTAGCGCGGCATGACTTCTTCCGTAGATTTGCATTGTTTATTTCGCACGTGTTCAAGAAGATGCTGGACACTTTACGAACCCTTCTTGACATATAAAACTCGATATACTCAGAGTCAATCTCGTATAAAAACTCTAAGACATGACTGACAGGATGCTACAGCTCTTATCCTAGCACAGATATACTACCAGTTCTACAGAAGGGTTTTGTCAAAAAACAATGCCAACATAAACTATAACAATGTTAACTAGTTGAAGCCAACAGATGGTGCATACAAACCTGAAGAGGATGCATTAATAAATTTAAGGGGCATTGAGACACATTGGTGATATGATTTAGCGGAGTGATTATATTATAACGTGTAGTTTCTAGTTTTTTATGCATGAGCATGATATGACGTATGTCCTACAGTTGAGATTGATGTTGAGTCATATATGAGGATGATGCAACAGTACATGATGATGGTGCATCCAAACCTGAAGAGGATGCATTAATAAATTTAAGGGGCATTGAGACACATTGGTGATATGATTTAGCGGAGTGATTATATTGTAACGTGTAGTTTCTAGTTTTTTAGAATGGTGTTACTTTCTTTTTGTTATATGGCGGGGACATCTTTTGATGTTGTGTTGGAGACTTTCTTTTTGTGCTTGACCTTATCTTCTTTTTCTGTAATATGTATTATTTTTTATACATATTCATTATTATGCTAAAATTTCAAAAGAGTGCACCATAATTTGTTGAAGAGTGCACCATAATCCTTGTTGAAGTGCATTATAACACAACGCGAGTGAAACCTACACGAGTTCATCTAAATTTTTTATAAGCGAGACAAAAAGCTTGAACTTTAGTATTACAACTAAAACATAAATTAAATATTTTATTATAGAGTTTAAAGTGCATAGATGATCAAATGTGCCCTATGTGTAAAAAGAACATATATAATAAAAACATGTGTTTTAAAGTGTTAAATAGTTAGAAATATAGAATGGAATGAGGCGGTGAAATGAGATAGGTTTTTTAAGCTATATGGATGTGGACAATGTATGCTTAAAGTAAAAATAATGCCATTACAATAGTGAAAATCAAACCATAAGGATAAAAACAACACAACATATCATTCATAGTCTAGAGAAAAACACATTTTTCCCTAAATGGATGTTGTAAATTTGTGTCAGTCTTACAAAAGTACAAGTTGAAAATAAGCCCTAATTTAAAACATAAGATTTAGAAGAAACATTGTTTAGACTTTAGAGAGAATTCTTGGATCCTCAATCTCCCTTTCACCCGTGAACTCTATGTGAACATGCGCAACTTGTTTGCCGGCTTTTTCAGTTGTGCATTCCTTATTCGATGACTCCCTTACGAATCAAAGATGCAATTTTTTAGACGTCATTGCTGTATCATTTTCTTTATATTTAAATGCATCTTTTCTTATCCCATCTGCACCATATACATATAGAAAAGTTAGAGTTCATCCATGCAAAATTTTATATTTATTCATCCATACCATAAATTAATTGGAACTAAAGAATTCATGTATGTTGTTCTAACATGAACACTGAGCAAAATCTATCAGAATTTAATAACACCAACCCACTATAATGCATCTCAAAATGCCTCTTAAACACATGAAGGTATTTTTGTGACATTGAAAAACAGTGCATTCACAATATGGATTGGTGCATTTCAAATTACTCGCTTACTATGACCTACACCTCTTTAGCAAGAAATAAATAAAAAAATCTAGTGATTCCTGTTATGCCAAAGATGATGCACTTTAGTCTCTTAACTATGCACAATATATTACCCACAAAATCTAAGAGCCTTAAAAGCAATATTTTTTGTTAACAAAAGTATCACCTCTTTTGAATCATTGTTCTTAACAAAATATGAAAAATCAAACCCATTCAAGGCCCCGACCTTAAATAAACGTCATTCAAACCTATGCAAAAAATTAAAAGAACTTAGCAAACAACGATAGTTTGACAGTGCCGCTCTGCACTTGCAATGTCATAGGAAGGGGGTGTGCTTATCTCACGTCCATCTCCTTCCAAACACTCGGTTGACAAATGCGCTGCCCAAGCAAATTTGTAGGAAGGACTTAATCCCATTGGCCAATAATCTGATGCATTACCGTATACCTTTAATGCACAATTGAAGAAAAAACCATAACTGAACAATAGAGCAAGATAAGTGTATAATACACAACAAACTTAAAAACATGAGGCACAAGTTCATACTTCATAGAGATAATGAATCACAAACAATTCAAATGAATTCTTATCAAAAAAAATAAACAAATATGCAGTAAAAATTATCGAATTGCTTAAGAAACCATACCTGAATCTATACAAAGATTAGACCAATTTGATTTACTGTAAATGAGCTATTAGCTGTAAAAATTCTAAGGCCTCTACATATTGTAAAATTTAAATCACCACACATAAGCAAATTCATATCTATGAAAATCATAGACATGAATATAGGAAACTGAATCCCTTTGTACATGAGAAATTGGTGATTGCAAAACCACACATAAACAAAATCAAGACAAGCAAAATAATCGAAATAGAATATAAGTAAGATCATGACAGAATCGTAGAGTCATTAAATTAGATTAACAAAATCAAATCACCCAAAATTACAATACTAGTAGTTTGCACCAAAGACATCTTTGGAGCATTTTGTCAAACATGTGGTGTGCAATCTTTGGTGGTATGACTTGGGAAAATCTTTGAGGCATTTTGTTAAACATATCATACTTTACAAATCAAACAATCTGGAGTCCACAGGATGTGCACTGAAGTGTTATACTAATTCACTAAAATACATATTATGCTTTACAAATTAGTCTAGAGTCTACATAAAATGCATTACAAATACGTTATAATGCACGGAAGAGTCATTATAATGCACTAACGATTTTTAAATCAGTTTCAAGTCCATCTAAAAAACAATGACAGAAACCATCTTATATCTATGAGAAAAATTGAAATAAAAGGGAGTAAAAAAAGTCTTAAGAGTAAAAACATTGCCTTTATTTTGAACAAATATGGCACAAATACCTGAAATTGTGTATACCAAGACCAATAACTGCCGAATAAAGTCAAATTCTAAAACTTCCTGCAATTTTTAGGTATGCCAAGACCAATAGCTGCTTCAGAATCTCATCCCTCGCTGCATCTGCACTCATGCCCCATCCACCGCAACCTAACTTTTCAACGGTAGCCTCACCGCTGCACCTCGTCGTCGTCTCTCCTTCCCTTTTCCGGTGCGCTGTTGCGAGAAATCAGGGAAGAGAATGCCTCACGATGGTTTGCGTTTTAACAAAGTGCCGTAAAAGACTTCTATGCCCTGGCGATAAGATTGATATCTCATTAGATCTGACGGTTTATATTTATTCTTATTTCTTTCATTAGATCTCTTTCTCACCGGAACCAAACTCTATATATATATATATATATATATATATATATATATATAGATTTTGGTTCTGGTGAGAATGCGATCTTAGGAGAGAAATGAGAATGAATCTGGTGCTTTAGATTGTGCGATCTAAGGGTTAGGATTGCATCAAAATTAGATGCAACAAAATGGTTTAAAAATGCATCACGTCGAAATGCATCATAATCCTTTCAAAATGCACTATCTCAAAATCTGAGCGCAGGATGCAATCTGAGCCGCACGATGCATCAGATCCAACGGCTAGATTTCATTCTCATTTCTCTCCACAAGGTGCATTCTCACAGGAACCGGCCCCTATATATATATATATATATATATATATATATATATATATATATATATATATATATATAAAACTCCAGTGAGATGACATGCTACGATCAGATAATGCAAAGCTCACCACTGCCCACTATAAAGCTCACCAACGACAATTACGAAGCTCACCAAACTGTTTGTGGCTAATCCAGCCTCCCGAGACTCTCTCGAGCTACACTACTATCTCGTTAAGCTTAACGGTGCTTAACAAACCCGTACAACTTGAGAGTTCGAGTCACACGAACCTCAACAAACCTTCGAAGGAAACAACTCTTCCTTCGAACAACAAGAGAAATACTTTCTCTTGTCAAGTGTCTAAGAACACTAAAAACACTCAAGAACAACTCTCTCTTAGAGTGGATAATGAGTAACTAAGAACGCTCAAGAACGCAACACAAGCTTCACAAAAATGGCTCTCAAAAAGCTATGAAAAAGTGATGAATGATTTGCAATGAAAGAGTAGAAGTTGTGAAGTAATGTGATGTTTAAAACAGACCCAAACACCCCATTTTATAGTGGAAAAATAGGCTCCAACGGACCAAAACATTTAAGGGGTGATTGGCACAATTTGTGGGATTTGATTAAATTTGGATCTGCTGAAATTCACCCAGACAGCGCTGTCCTAGGCTTGGACATCGCTGTTCTAGGCTTGGTTTTTAAAAATTGGGAAGCAACGGTCATGCCAACAGCGATGTCCAATACCCCTACATCGCTGTTTTGGCTGTTGACTTCCAAACAAGGAAAGTTTTAGCCTTAAATTCCTT